GTAAGATTTGTATAAAAAAATTTGAGATATTTTCTAAACAGTTATAAAATGATATAGAAATTTTTAAAATTCAGAATTTTTTTATATGTGAATTATAAAATATTGTAAAATTCATATAATTTTCTATAATTTTCTATAATTGTATATTTATTTATAATTATATTGTGATGTCAATATATATACAATTATGTATAAAACATTTTTCCCGGGTAAATGAACAAATCAATACATAAATAAATAAATAAGTACAGTTGGTACCAACAATTATACCAACGAGTTTAGCTCGGCGAAATCCTCCTCAGGGCATCTATGGAATTATTTCGTTCTTTTCTAGAAAATACAATAGAAATTTAAGGAATAATTGAATAATTCCAATAAGAATCCATTTCGAATAATTTCATAATACATGCTCTATTAAACTTTTGAAATCACTTTTAACACTTGCTTAATAGTTGATGTTGCACTACGCTTCGAAACGAAGAGAGAAAAGGAGCAAAATTTCAAGATAGCAAAATTTGACGAAGATGCATAGAGATCAGTCATAGTAACATCATTTATTTTTTCGCAGTTTGCAATTCTGGGTTTTGAACAGTATCTCGACTCGCAAAAATTTCATAATTTGGCGTAGTTCCGTAATTTGCCCAAACTGAGCACACCATGTCCAATCCTTTCTACCATGGTCGCTTTGCGTGAGAAGTTGTATTCCTTGAATTCGTTCATCTCATACTCCTTTCTGTATCTATATCTAAAATTATTGACTCTTCATGTAAAGCAGGGAAATAATTATTAACAAAAAAAGTTTGAAAAATGATGTCTTTTTTCTACTATATAAAACAAAAATTTTCTGCTTTAAGATATATTTTACAACTTTCCACGATTCTCACCCCATTTCTCCCCTGTCAAGAAGTGCTGCTTAAGAGCGCGCGATTTACACGCGAAGCAACTCTCACCCCACTTTCCCCCCTTGCTTAGGAGCACACGATTTCCACACGAAGTGACTCTCATTCCACCTCCCTCCTGCCAGTCGCTTCGTGTGAAAAGTCGGACATCCCTTGGCAGGGAGAGAAGTGGGGTGGACTTCACTTCGCGTGGAAAGTCGTAAAATATATTTTAAAGCAGAAAATTTCTGTTTCATATATTAGAAAAGAGACGTCATTTTTCAAATAACATATGTTATGGTCAAGATCATCGAAACTGACTTCCCTATTCAGCATATTTACTGTTTTTTTAAATCGAAGTGTTTGTATAAATATAAAGCAATTATTACACTAATTTACAAAAATTTTGTTTTTTTATTTTACTTTAAACTATGTGTCTCTTATAGGTTTTCACAGGCTGAAAATGACGCCGCAATTGAAAAAATTCTAGCACATCAAATTTCCAAGATAATTGAGGTTTAATACGTAAAAAAATGATTTTTTTGCGATATTTGATATTTTTTTGTAAAGAAGGCTAACATTATCTTAAAATTTCGATCATGAATATATTATTCATTTCCTATCAAATGCATTTTTTTTTTTTAGTACAATAGCTTGCTTTGTAACTATGACACACACACAGTTTATTTTATAAAATAAATATATAATTGCACATTACACATTGTTAAGTTTTGAAAAACAGTTATGTATTTTTGAAAAACAGCTATGTATTTTCACCAATTGATTCATCTTATTCTGTGCATAAAAGTATTAGATATAGTTATCAAAATATGACCTTCAAAATTTCGCATACATATAACACTGTCGGAGTTCTTATATTTGAAATAGCTCCTATCTTCAATCCTTCATTGGCTAACATGGCTAAAAAGTAATGAGTAAAGAGTAAAAAGTAGTAGTTGAAGTAAAAAGAAATGCATTTTATAGCGAATGAACATCGTGATTTCTGATTGGAATTTCACGATAATGTTAACCTTTACAAAAAAAATGTCAAATATTGCCATAAAAGTTATTTTTTACTTATTAAATCTCAATTATCTCTTGGAAATCTAACATGCTAGAATTTGTTCACTTGCAGTATCATTTTCAGCGTCCAAAAATCTATAAGAGACACGTAATCCAATTCAAAGTAATTTTTTGCTAAACTAGTGTCATTTTAATATTGAGTCATCTAAAAAATATCCGCGGTTTTTCGTCACTAGATGGTGTTGATGGTCAACACATCTAGTGACAAAAAACCGCGGATACTTTTTAGATGACTCAATATATTATTTTATTATAATTTAAAACTATCATAAATAAGAATAAGTAACACAATAATTTTTAAAATACGAAATTGTTTTTTATTATTGTTTTTTATTTAATAAAATATAAAATAATGAAATGAAATAATTAATAATCAACGATCGAAAAAATTTTTGAAAGTTGCAAGTGTTACAAATAAAAAATAAAATATATTAAAGATAATATTGTAAATTAAATATCAATTTATACGTTAATACTGCATATTATAACTTTTGTATTACTTAAAAAAGAGCTTTTCGAGCTTGGCTTGTACATGTGTGTCGTGACAATTTATTAATTTGTTACAATAATGTAATTATATTATTAAACGAACATTTCGATCCTTAATGTGATCCTTCTGAATGAGTAAAATTAAAATCGTATCATACTGTTACTTGTTATCATGTATAAATTAAGATATCTAATAATTTAGAATCTTAAGATGTAGTAAAAAGAGAGCCCTTCCTACATTACTTGTTATCTTTCATGTTGTGTTCGGTGTTAGTTGTAATTGTACATTTGTGCACCCGCATATATTTCGTTAGTCGCATCGATTATATGACTCTTATCCTGGTGTTCTTCTGTTCAAATTTACATCGTCAGAAGAATCATAATTTCCAGACCAAATACTAATGTGTAATACTGTAATTGTATGTCGTTATCAAATGTTTTGTTTTAATTATATGATGTGTAATCTTACCTATGATTTCTCTGCTAATTTAACTGTGCGAATATTAAAAATAATTAAAATTAACGTGACTTTCCTTGTCGATTGTCAAGTACAAAATAAAAATCATTTTGTGTATACATGACTGTTAATTATTGCCAGTAGATCTAGTAGGGAACAAACAATCCAGGAAATAGAAAGATAAGCATCAAATAAATATTCGTGATTTTGCTTGTTTTTAAAAATATCTATTACAAATAAATATTTGGTGTCAATGAATCTCTTCTCTCATCTATAGTTGCGGCATAGCAATGCAGAATATTGAGACAATAGCTATCAAAAAATTATATTCTTTTTTAAATATGTTGACGATATTTTATTGACCATCCCGAATGATGAAATAAATGAAACACTCATGATGTTCAATTCTATTCATGAACGTCTACATTTCCATGGAAACAGAGACAGAACATTAGATTAGCTTCTTAGATGTCAACTTAATTAGAGAAGAACAATGCATCATATTTGACTTATTCAAAAAGAATACGTCGGGTATCTTAATTACTACAACATCCAGTAGTACACAAAAAAGGAATTATTTTTAGAATAGTCAACAAATAGTAATGTTAATAGTACATTCACGATTTTACTTAAAAAATATTAAAGAAACAATTGACATTTTACTAAAAAAAACTGCTATCTAAATTTCATTTTCAAAATCATTAATAAAAGATTACAGTTTTACATGTATCATAAAAAAAACACAACAAAAGTAAAAATGACATAGGAAATATAACTAAAAAATTTTTCATCATTCCATATATAAAGGGCATATCGAACAGATTTACTACTATTGCTAACAAAGTCAACATGCTTGCTGCTTTCCCTTGCAAACTAAACAGATCATTACTACAGGCAATGATAACACGAAAAAAATTAATAAATGTGACGTAGTATATAAAATAGATTGCAAGGACTTGTGAGGCCACGTATGTAGAACAAACGAAAAGACTAGATACTAGAGCATATGAAAGACATCAATAAAAGGAGCGGTTCTCTCTCAGTTATCTCGGAACATAGACCATATCAAAATGATGATTTTGATTGGGATAACGTGCGTAACCCAGATAATGAACCGTATATAAAAAGAGCAGTATTTGAAATGATACACAATAAAAGGCAAACATTAGATCTTAACAAAATGACACCATACATTAATCCTTATTTCTCTATCCTGAATTGTTTGTCCTCCACTAGATCTCTTGGTAATTAACAATGAGACAATACACAGGGTGTTTGAAAAATAATGATAAATATTTCATATAAGGACAGAATGGACTAAACTGAAAAGAAAAATTCTCTACCATTTTGCATTTTTTGCAATAGTTAACAAGATATTAGCTGCTAAAAATGGTCGAAAATTCAAATGTTCAGTCACAACGAAGATCCACAACATGGAAGATAACAAGTAATGTAGATAGTAGGAAGCGTGTCTCTTTTTATGTCTTAAGGTTTTAAGTTGCTAGATATCTTAATTTATACATGAATAACAGTATGGTACGATTTTAATTTTATTCATTGAGAAGGACCACATTAAGGGTGGAACATTTGTTTGATATTATAATTACATTATTGTAACATTTGAGATTAATAAATTGTCATGGCATACACGTACAAGAGCCAAGCTCGTAAAATTCTTTTTTAAGTATTGAATTATAATATATTCCATCGAGCTATGCAATACAAGTTTATATTACATTTTTTAAATTAACAACTTTATTCTTAAAATTCTAGTACTACTTATAAAAGATTCGATTCTGTACAATAAAAACTACTTATAAGTACATGTTGAATCTTATAGATACTTATTATAATTATTCGAAATTATAACTAGTTAATTTGCAAATACAATATATGAAATATTATTTCTTATATATGAAATATTATTCAAATCCTAGAAAATAAAGTTCTAAAAAATTCTAGAAAATAAAATTAATTATTGGATTTCACTCGGATTTTTTAAGTACAAATTAAATCACATATTAAATTAGATCTTATCCTCAAATACAAATACTGCACAAATATTCAAAATTTAATGTGATACTTTTTACCAGCACAATACCTTAGAAGCTGTGTTGCAAAGGGGAGAGAAGCTGGATGATCTAGTCTCTAAATCGGAAGGAATCCGCGCTCAGTCGAAGGGGTTAGTTTAGCTCCTTAAAATGTTTTCTTCCTCTTTCTTTTTTAGCGAGCTTTGCCGCTTCAATATTTCATAAATGTGACTTTATAATCATTGTGGTATAGAAATGCAAATGAATATTTATATACATAATTCATGGAAAAGTTAATGCAAAAAATAAGAGGGAAGAAAGGGGAAAGAAAATTTAGCAAATAAAGCGAGATAATAGAAAGATACAGAGGATATCTATCCATGTTTTTTAGTGGAATATATATAATTTAATAAATTTTGAATTGAATAACGGGAAAAAAGCAAACCACTGCCGGTTCTTCCCAGTTAAGTGAAATTTTTTATAAGAATGTTACACGCCTGTAAAATTTATTTACTCGCGAGAAAACGGTCCTAAGCAATTGCATATGAGAATTACTTCCGAGATGAGTTTCACGCAAGGAAAAACAATCGGAATTCCCAATGTTAAAGTATCGCCTTAAACACATTCCGAATGTTAATTGTGCCCTTTTTACGTGTGAAAAAGACACAAGTGCAATTTGAGGTTTATTATAATATTTATAACAGCCTCGCGGATCAATAGATGCAACGCGATAAGGATAACTATAATTGGATGAACGATATATTTCTGTTCAAACAATTAGGCTCCAGTCTAATATGATCAACATGAAGTAATCAAAAAGTCTTTTTGACAAAAACAAAATTTTTATTAACACTAGAAATCATTTGCGATTTTATAATTGTACTGAGTCATTTATATTATAATAACTAAATTCGAAAATATTGCACCAGATATTCCAAGAAGATTGTCTAACAATTTTTTAAATGTTTATACGCAAACCAGTCTTCTTATCCTTTTTAATTTGAATAACTATATATTTATCATGAATTATATTAAAATGATTATCAATGTTAATTACACATTTCGTCAAATTGATCAATAGGCGATAACATTTACGATTATTTGTCATTTGTAAGTAAAACTCTAATGATGTGTCTTGGCAAAAAGAAAATATATTCTATGTATAATATTTAAGTGACAATTGTAATCTTTATACTATGTATGTGTTGAAGAGTATAATGAATCAGTAAATATATATTAATATATTTTTAAATGTTAATGTTATTATATGATGTATTCATAAAAAGGAAATAATTTATACATATGTAGTATAATACATATGTAGTACTCACAACTGTGAGGTAAATTTATTTAGACGTACATTTAGACGTTTATTTTACACACGCGCGTAATGTTTTTGAAATTTTGGAAATTGTCTAAGGTTAATTGCCCGATTGCAATCTCTCTCTCTCTCTCTCTCTCTCTCTCTCTCTCTCTTAGAGAGAGAGGGGAGAAAGAAAGAGAGAGTTTTTTTCAAGTCTTGCTTAGAGTTAAAGTAATGTTGATGCAATCGAGCTTAAATACAATAAGTATATTCCAAATCACAATAGGTATAATAAGCTTTAAGCCGTAGAATATTGATTCTTGAAAAAAAATTATTAAAAATTAAACTTAAAATTCAAATGCGTTACTGACTTTACTAACGAAGTTAAAATTCTATCAAAAAGTCTATCTCAAGTGGTATTATCTCTTTATTATTTATTCTAATGATATCTATTAATTCTAATGATATCTATTATTTGTATAGAATATTTAATATTAACTTAAAATGAACAAGATAACACAATTTTGTAATAATAATGTTTTAAAGAAGAATTAAATAATTACTATTTTGATGAAGAGAAAATATCTTGGAATGAATTGTTATATCCAATCGTACCAAATCTTAAGCCGGTTATTATAAATTGTGATATAATTTTTTTTAAGAGAGAAGAATTAAAGAATTGGAAGATCTTTCAATAGGAATACAAAGGTTTGTATATATTTAGGTTTTTATTGTAAAAATAAAAATTAAAGCTAGTACTACTTGGATTATATTCTTCATTTAATTTGGTATAGGATTTAACTTGTCGCCAGTTGTTAATATCAAATCTTTTATATGAATAATATTAAAAATTTTGTGGAATCTAACTTGGCGCCAGTTGTTGATATCAAATTTTTTATACAAATGATAGATATCATTAGAGTTAAACAAATAATAAAGATTGTGTCACTTGAGGGTTTTACTTTTTATTTTTATAGAATTTAACTTGGTTAGCAAAGACTGTAGTACATTCGGGTTTTAATTTTTAATTTTAATTTAAGTTTTTTCGAGAAATAATAATTTTTTATAGAGAGTTAAAGCTGCCATTCCTTGGGTTGGAATAAGAAGATCAATAAGAATATTTTTGAAAAAGTAAAAATATCAAGACGATTTCATATGTATTTTTCGAGAAATAATAAGAAATATTGTTTGAAAGAGAATTAAAGCTGTTATTATTTAGATTGAAATAAAAAGATACATAACGTATCACTAAGGTTCTATTTGAGAAGCACATATTTTTAGTTTTTTTTACTTTTCTTAAAAAAGTAAGTTTTAATACATACGATATATTGTATATATATATAAATTCATCCACAATTCATCCGTGGATTAAAACAGGGGGGTTTTTAACATCGGTACAACTAGTGCGATACATTGATGAACCTCGGAATCCGCGAATTCCCGTAAATTTCGAGATTCGCGTGCTCTTGCAGACTCCGATGCGTAGTAAACATTTATGAATTTTTTGCTGCAATATTACAGATTTATGCTGTATAGGAATTGCCTTGAATTGCGTTCAGCAGAACACAACCGTTTTGCAATCGTTTTATGATTGTCTGCTGAGATAGGATCATTCCTCTTAATCTAAAAGCATAACCCAATCAGCGCGAAGAAAACTTCTAACAGTTGCAAAATAAATATTCTGCTGAACGCAGTCATTAATAGTAATGCCCGGACCCCCTCTCAACTTTATCTTTGTACTAAAACTTTAGTAGTCTTAAAAATGCCACTGAATTAAAAATGTGTAATGTCGCTTAATATTAATAATGTCATCAATAGTTAAAACTTGAAATTGTCGTATTTAATTGAATACTCAAACAATTACATTATCTGTAATATACAATATATAATAAAAAAAATATAATATAAGTTTTAAAATACTAATTGAATTGTTATTAAAGTATTGGATAAAACTTAAATTAAGTATTCATGATGATCAGTTAATGTGAAACGTGCTTACAGTAAAACATATTACAAGAGAAAGTGTGAGAGATCAAACGAAATTATCGTCATTAAATAGGGAAAAGAATACAATAAATAATACTAACAGAATGTAAATAAATTAAAAGCTAACAATAAATATAAATATTAACTATAAACTTGGAAAAATCAATCTTCTTTTAAAATAACTCATGATATAACGAATCCAATCATATCAATATTCTCTTTTAAATTTAAATAATTTTTTTGTTTTTTAATGTAAATGGACTGAGATTAATCGCTTATTTAGTATTTTCTTCATCCAAAATCTTAACATTGTTTCAATCAAATTCGTGATTGAATTTTAGTCTGTGTTCGTAACAGAATGTTGTTAGTATGTCTATTGATATAATTATGATGTTCTGATAATCTAGTTTTTAATGATCGTTTCGTTCTACGTATGATGCATCACAATTCGAACAATCAATTCTATATACTACATTGGAATGTAAGAAAGAGACGTAATAAGCGATTGATCTCAGAATCAATTTACATTACATTAACAAATAAAAAAATGGTTTAAATTTACAAGAGAATACTGGTATGTCTACAGGCTATCTTAGACAGCTTCGGTAATCTTATGACGCTCATACAGAATACAAGAGATCCGGCTCCGACTCCCGGCGAGGTAATATTTTTCGCAATAAATTTATTTACAGTTTTTGAGTACATTAACATCTTTCTAATAGGATGACATCAAATTATTAAATTGCTTATCAATTCAATTTATGGTATTTCTGTAGTAATTTGATTACGTTTATAAGTTTGAAAAATCATTTCGGCGCACAGTTTAAATAACTACATATTTATTATATAGATTCACATAGAAATTATTTAAAAGCTTCAACCGTAATAGGCATTAAAACTCTTACTTGTTTATGAAACGTATATGGTCTTAATAAATCGTTTATTATTATTTATTAATTTTTAATGACATATTATGTATTATTTGTATAAAAAATTTGTTATCAACAAGTATAAGTTTAATCCCACCAAATTAAAAAGTAAAACCCAAGTAGAGAAAGTACTATTTTTATTATTTACTTAACTCCAATAATATCATTTGTATAAAATATTTGATATTAACAACTGACGCAAAGTTGAATCCCATACTTTTCTTTCCAATCAAAGTAATAGTACTTATTTAATTCTCTTTCAAAACATTATTATATCAAAAATTGCGTAACCTTACTCAATTCAAATGTTAGTACAAATAATTAAAGAAAGAAGTAACAATATAAAATTTAAAAAAATTTAATTTAAATAGAAAAATTTTGTATTTAAACACTTGCTAGATTAAATAAGGAAAACAATTTAAAAGTAATAATGAATTTAATCTGAATGTTTTTTAAATTAACTAAAAATAAGTTAATATTTTTTCTTTGTCGAATTGTACTATATTTCGAGATCTCAATGTATATATGAATTTAATAATGTATTATTCGTATGTTAATAATTGCAAATTTATATTAATTGTCGATGTCATCGTTGTAAAATTATTCCTGGACCACCGAAATCCTATTGTTAGTCACAAAAATTTACTCAGGATTAGCCGTCTTTAATAGAATCTCGTGCCAAACTGTCAACAACTAACTTTTAAGGGTGCATTCCGACTTGCGCATGAAACGCATGGACTGTATTACTATTGCACAGAGCTTCGAAATCGTTCTGTTTTGTCAATGGGTATGAAACGCTTTGGTTATTCGAAACGATTTTCTGCGCGGTTTGCTCATTAATTATTATACAAATTATAAAAATACTGAAAATTAAAAATGTTATATTTTAAATTATATTATATTACTATACAATAATATTTTATTATTATTATAT